TTATGATATTTGAATGCAATGAAAGTATAGATGTTGTGAAGTGAATTGGTGAGAAAAGCAGACCCAAACACCCCTTTTTATAGTGCAAAATTAGGCTCCAACGGACCAATGCATTAAAGGAGTGATTAGCTTGATTTATGGGATTGAAAAGATTTGGGATCTGCAGAATATTGGCTTCCCATCGATGTTTAGAATCAACCATCGCTGGTAAGCCAATTTTTCTTCTGTTTTGAAGTCAACGGTCACCTACCCATCGATGGGTACAAGCTTCCCATCGCTGGGTGGGAGGTTGACTTCCAAACAAGGAAAGAATCAACCTTTAATGACCACCAACGGTCATGCCTTCCCATCGATGGTATACCCTTACCATCGCTGGGTTCCCATCGATGGGATAGACTTCCCATCGCTGGGCAAGGTCGTTCTGCCTTGTGGTAATTTTGCACCAAGGCTCTAACAGCGATGGGTGGAACTCCCCATCGCTGTTTGGCATGGTTCTGGAAACTGGTTTGGCTGAGGAGCCGCTTACCCATCGATGGGAAGATCTTCCCATCGCTGGGTGAGTGGTTAGTCAAGAACCCATGGTTTTTGCCTTAACCACGGCCTAGCCAACCGATGCGAAACCCGACCGAAAAAATCAAAGTTCTCCAAAATAAAAACCAAGTGTTTAAAACACTTATTTGATGTATTTGGCTAATAAATCGAGTAAGACACTTTAAAAACCACGTTATTTAAGTGAAAACCACGGCTAGCCAAGTTTTATTCCGTTTTGAATGATTTTTGTCAAACGACCAAAAGCGAGAGATGGTTTTCAAGGTGTTTTTGTTGGAGAACCGTTTAAACATGCCAAAGAGTAAAAACCAATCATAAAAAGTTGAAAACCACTTGGTTGGTTCGGACGCCAAAAACCATAGCCGATAACCGAGAGCCGAACGCCAGTTTCTGAAACCCGAACCCCGGATGGCTTGGTTTTTGGTTTGGGCGAACACCAAGTGTTTTTAATGACTTAAACATGTTTGAAAAGCATTTTTATGATTTAAGAAGTGCAATGAAGGTTTTTAGCCTAATGAGCCAAGGTGTAAAGATTGGGTCGGTCTTGATCACAATGAAGACCGACTCAACGACACTAAGACTAAGGTCTTCGTTCTTGGTCTTCTTTTAGCTCTTGTTCTTGTCTTCCTTCTTCGCCTTGTCTATTCAAAGTTTGACTTGATCACGGCGGTTTGGCATTATCAAAACCTGACATAAAAACAAACACGGCTTTAGTACGAAAACGTGACATGCCCGTGTTTCAACAGTTGTTAGGTTTGGTGAGCTTTGTAGTAATGTTTGGTGAGCTTTCTTAATATATTTGGTAAGCTTTCATATAAAAAACAAAGTCTTGGTCTTAAATTATTTGGTGAGCTCTCTAGTTTTGTTTGGTGAGCTTTCTTAATATATTTGGTGAGCTTTCTCAATATATTTGGTGAGCTTTGTAGTTAAGTTTAATGAGCTTTGTAGTTATGTTTGGCGAGCTTTGTAGTAATGTTTGGTGAGCTTTCTTAATATATTTGGTGAGCTTTCATATAAAAAACAAAGTCTTGGTCTTAAATTATTTGGTGAGCTCTCTAGTTTTGTTTGGTGAGCTTTCTTAATATATTTGGTGAGCTTTCTCAATATATCTGGTGAGCATTGTAGTTAAGTTTAATGAGCTTTGTAGTTATGTTTGGCGAGCTTTGTATTAATGTTTGGTGAGCTTTCTTGTTTGGTGAGCTTTCTTAAATTATTTGGTGAGCTTTCTAGTTATGTTCGGTGAGCTTTCTAGTTATGTTTGGTGAGCTTTGTCAATATATTTGGTGAGCTTTCTAGTTATGCTAGGTGAGCTTTCTCAATATATTTGGTGAGCTTTGTAGTTAATGTTTGGTGAGCTTTCTTAATATATTTGTTGAGCTTTCTCAATATATGTGGTGAGCTTTCATGTAAAAAACAAAGTCTTAGTCTTAAATTATTTGGTGAGCTTTCTAGTAATGTTTCGTGAGCTTTGTAGTTAAATTTGGTGAGCTTTGTAGTTAAGTTTAGTGAGCTTTCTCAGTATATTTGCTGAGCTTTGTAGTTATATTTGGTGAGCTTTGTAGTAATGTTTGGTGAGCTTTCTTAATATATTTGGTGAGCTTTCTCAATATATTTGGAAAGCTTTCTGAATATATTTGGTGAGCTTTCTAGGTATGTTTAGTGAGCTTTCTTAATATATTTGGTGAGCTTTCTTAATATATTTGGTGAGCTTTCTAGTAATGTTTGGTGAGCTTTCTGGTTATGTTTGGTGAGCTTTCTTAATATATTTCGTGAGCTTTCTAGTTATGTTCGGTGAGCTTTCTAGTTATGTTTGGTGAGCTTTGTCAATATATTTGGTGAGCTTTCTCAATATATTTGGTGAGCTTTCTCAATATATTTGGTGAGCTTTGTTGTTATGTTTGGTGAGCTTTGTAGTAATGTTTGGTGAGCTTTCTTAATATATTTGGTGAGCTTTCTCAATATATTTGGTGAGCTTTCTAGTTATGTTTGGTGAGCTTTCTCAATATATTTTGTGAGCTTTCTTATTATATTTGGCGAGCTTTCTAGTAATGTTTGGTGAGCTTTCTGGTTATGTTTGGTAAGCTTTCTTAATATATTTGATGAGCTTTCTAGTTATGTTCGGTGAGCTTTCTGGTTATGTTTGGTGAGCTTTCTCAATATATGTGGTGAGCTTTCTCAATATTTTTGGTGAGCTTTCTCAATATATGTGGTGAGGTTTGTTGTTAGGTTTGGTGAGCTTTGTAGTAATGTTTGGTGAGCTTTCTTAATATATTTGGTGAGCTTTCATATAAAAAACAAAGTCTTGGTCTTAAATTATTTGGTGAGCTTTCTAGTTATGTTTGTTGAGCTTTTTTAATATATTTGTTGAGCTTTCTCAATATATTTGGTGAGCTTTCTAGTTATGTTTGGTGAGCTTGTTTACAGCGGGGAGATCCCCATTTTGATGCACGAAAACGTGAAAGCGCTTCTGCGGGACAACTTTAACGTTAAAACCCTCTCCTCATCCTCGTCCTCGTCTCAGCCCTCACTCTCTTGGAAATTATTTGGCAGGTTTAAGACGAAGACGAAGACGAAGATCGTTGCACATTTTAGCAATTGCATATAAAGACAATGAAATAAGATAAGGGTTCTTTTTGCCCTATTTTTAATAGGAGTTCAGAAAGTGGAAACACTAGTCTCAATATTGGAACTTAGAGTCTAGGAACTAGAATCTGCATACAGATTTATTTTCAACTAAAACCAGAGACTCTGGATAGACAAAGTGGAAGAGCAAATTATACATTATGAGCATTTAGAAAAAAGAACATAGACATTTGAAGTAGTCATTGGAATGCTTGATCAAAATACCTCAGTCCCAATTTAATTTTCCCATTAGCTAGGAGGTGAAATTGTGTGGCTCAAACTTGTGCATAGGAGAAAGAATTGATGTGACCAAAACAATTATTTCTTTAATGGAGAATGGGATCATTGATTAGGGACATCCAAAGGAGAGTGAGAATACAAACAATTAAGGGAGAGTAACATATAATTCTAGTGACAGTAGTGATCCAAGTTAATTTTGAATATGAACTTGGAGACATTCAGGTTAGAATTGAAATCATGGGTTGTGTGTGTGTGTGTTCATTGGGGGTGGGGGCCAGTAGGGGGAAGATATGTAATTGGGATGTATCACCTTGTGGGTTCTTATGATAACACAAGCTTCAGACACCAAATTTGTAAATGCATACAGAGGTCAAGAGCTAGCATCATAACAAAAGGAAGCCTAACACAACTAAGCACTTAACAAATATTGCATTAGAAAATAAAAATCAGAAAGGCCAGGGTACAAAAGCTATCCAGTTTTACAAGCTAAAGAGTGGACTGAAATGAAAAATGTTCCAAGCATCATGACTGCTTGACACCTATAGAAGCAAATAACCCAAAATGTTAACCTGGTCCTATATCCACACAAATCATATCCTGTTTTCTCAACACCATAATAACCCAAAATCAGATTGCTAAAACTTAATCAAATCAGACATTAGGCCAAAAATCAAACTGTCACTGTATGTGTCCAAGTGTGACACATATCCTAGTTGATAAACTTGCCATATTCTGCCACTTTCCGTTTCACTTGTACGACAAGTTGATTATGATCAGAGGTGAGCATTTCGTAGCAATATCGGACACAGAGCATTCTTAATCCATTTACCTACCAAGAAATTTAAACTTCAATTAAAATAAGATAAAATTTGGTAATTTTATCTTATTTCACCTTATAAACAAAAAAGACATAAGACTTACATCATTTTTGTTCAAATCCATCTTCCACGTATTCAAATTCCCCTTGAAAGTTTCCAATTGCCTTCTTTGTTATTTCAAAAGGAAATTTGGAAATTTTACTTGCTTTTTTCTCAAGTTTTTTTCATTGAAATACTGGCACA